TTAAAGAAATTAATAGTTCTTAAAATTTTCTATGAAAACATCAAGTAGTTAATTTCCTATATCCCAAATATTCAACATAGATTCTTTCCTATTAATTTGAGAGACCAAATGTCTGATTATATGCTCCTGTGAAGCACCTTCTTATATCTTTGCACTCTGGTGCCCAGTTAACACCATGTAAGTGATGGCAATGAAACAGATTTACTTCAAAAGAAGAAAACAAAACTCAATTTGTACCACAACAAAAATTAGTGATCTCTGAATAAAGAGAAAAACATGAATTGTTTTAAAAACCAATTTACTACAAAATAAAACAATAAAGTCAGATTAATTTAGATTTAATAAAAATAAACATTTTTCAATAACTATATACTATTAGTCAAACTCTAGAAACTAAAATGACTTTCAGATGGTTTTCAAATACTCATCAATATTTTTAAAGCTACTTAAATTTACACTTTTTATGACTCAATAGTTTTCACTATTTAAAAGAGGTAATTAATTTTATATATAATCAACAATTTTTTTAACAAAAAAGTGGTTTTTTTAAAAGAAACTTGTATTCTTAACCCTACTCCTCAAAGACATTATTAGTATTCTGACAATAGAGGGCAGTATAACATGATTTATAGAGCTATTTTTTTTTATTTTATATTGGTTTGCCCACAAACTTCATATACATTATGTTTCATACTAGTCTTCATTCATATTGTGTTTCTTACAATTATTCCTATGCATTACATTTTCTAAAATCAATCACAATAGAAAATTTTTAAATAAAAAAATTTTTTAAAATATTTTTATAATTTATGCTTCAAAAAGTAACTTAAAATTTTGCTTGAGTTAATTTACAAAACGCACTGCATGTTTTATTCATTTTGTTTTATAACAATTAAAATTAATGTTACTCATTACAAAGTCTAATCAAAGCCTTATTATAGATTATCTTTCCCTTAGATTGCCTTAACAACCATGTATTTGTTTTCTACCCTCCCTCTCTCTCTTTCCTCATCCTTGTTAACCCTCCAAGATTTTCTGTGTGGAAACCTTTCCTTAGCAAGGTGGTCTCATACCATAATTGTCCTTTGTGTGCTTGATTTATCACACAGCATAATCTATTCTAGATCCATCTGTGTTGTGCAGGATTTCACAACCTTAGTGATAGTTTGTCAGTGATGCACAGATCAGTTTTTTTAGCCTGCACTGCAGTGCACTCATGGACACTTGGACTGAAACAAAGTTATTTATATCTTCACTTTTAAAAAATTACTTTCTCCCTCAAAGTTCTGCCATCCACACCCACTGGACTCATTCATACAAACACTCTTCAGTACAGAGAACATAAAATGTCATGAAAATATCTTCTAACTGAACAAGAAGGCATGCAGCTTCAACTCAAGACCACTAGTACAGTGTTAAAATGAGCTTCCTCACAACATTCCTGTTGAATATGAAGCAGCCAGAGAGTCTGTGTTCCTATTTTCAAAGAAAAAACCCCATAAATAAGACATATATCTTTGTGTAAAAAAAAAATAAAAAATTAATCACCATTGGACTAGGCCTGCCATTGCCCTGTCTTTTTTTGGTCCTTACTGGATCTTTCTCATTTACTTTACCCACCCACTCCCTTTACCCACTAAACTGGACAATCCTGTGATTTCATCCCTACCCATACTTACCCTTTGGCTCCCACTCCCTACTTGCCCCCTTGGGTCCCTATATATGGTTTACTAGTTATCCTTCTTAAGTCTGTCCCACTCGAATTTCAAAACCATCTCAGGAACAGGTTTGAGGCCTTGAGCACCAATGAGCATAGACTAAATGAGTTTTGGGAGGATATAAAAAAAAATCGTACATGAAGAATGCAAAAGATCATTAAAATGGCTGAAGAAGAAGAAAAGACCAAGATGGATGTCAGATGAGACTCTTGAGTATTGCATTAGAGGGCCAAGAAGCCAAAGCTAAATGAAAAAATAAAGAAATCAAAGAGCTGAACAGAAAATCCCAAAAGGCAGCTCGGGATGACAAAGCAATATACTATAATGAAACGTGCAGAGAGCTGGAGTCAGAAAAATCAAAAGGGCCACACTCGCTTAGCATTTCTTAAGCTGAAGGAGTTGAAAAACAAATTCAAGCCAAGGGTGGCAATAAGTAAAGATACTTTGGGTGGAATATTAAATGATCCAGGAAGTATCAGAGAAGATGGAATGAGTACACAGAGTCACTGTATCAGAAGGAATTGCTGACACAGAAGAATTTAATAAAATAACATATGAGCAAGAGCCTATAGTGCTAAGGGAGAAAGCTCTAAAGGAATTGGCAAAAAACAAGGCTCCAGGAGTTGACAGCATACCAACTGATTTATTTCAACAAACAGACGCTGCTCACCAAGTTGTGCCAGGAAATCTGGAGGACAGCCAACTGGCCAACTGACTGGAAGAGGTAAATATTTGTTCCCATTCCAAAGAAAGGTGACTCAACAGAGTGTGGAAATATCATTGATCTCACCTGCAAGCAAGATTCTGCTGAAAATTATCCAAAAACATTTGGAACAATATGTCAACAGAGAACTGCCAGATGTGAAGGCTGGATTTAGAAAAGGTCATGGTACTGGGGATATTATAGCTAATGTCTTCACACCTTTTCAATATGTATGCAGAACAGATCATCTGGGACGCTGGGCTTTACAAAGAGGAATGTGGCATCAGGACTGGTGGAAGAGCCATTAACAACCTGTGTTACGTGGATGATACAACCAAGCTTGCTGAAACTGAGGAGCACCAGAGCGCTTGCTGCAGAAGGTCAAGGTCTGGAGCCTTCAATAAGGATTGAAGCTCAACATCAAGAAAACAATGATTCCCACCGCTGAGCCAACTGGCAGTATCAGTATGGATGGTGAAGAGATTGAGATAGTTAACAGTTTTCGTTTACTTGGTTCCACAGTCAACATTCTTGGTTACAGAAGCCAGGAAATCAAGAGACGAACTGCACTGGGAAATGTCAGCTGTGAGGAATCTCTCAAGAGTATTGAAGAGCAACAACATCAGCTGGAGACTAAGGTGCGCCTGATTCAGGCTATAGTCTTCGCAATTATGTGCTATGCATTGGAGAGTTGGATGGTGAGTAGGGATGACAGAAAGAGAATTGATGCCTTTGAGCTGTGGTACTGGTGAAGAGCGTTGAATATACCATGGACTGCTAGGAAAACAAACAGGTTTGTCCTGGAGA